CTCAATCACGTCAAACTATGAGTACACAGCCAATCTAATTTTCAACATTGCTATTCAATCTACAAAAAATATCAAAATCATTAGCAATTTTGAGGTAAGGTGTAAGTGTGAGCAGGAAAAAAGCGTTTTGACATAATTTATCTTTTTCCTTTTAAGATTTTTTTTTTTTTTGACAGACACTCAATAGTTTTTTAATGTTACTGGGGAAAACTGGTTTTACACAAGCATATTAATTCCTCAAAATTTTTTGAACTTAATTCAATTTTTTCTTTTAAAAAAATGCAAAGCAGGGGTGCCAGTCAGTCAAGCTAAGCGTCTGAGTCTTGATTTTGGCTCAGGTCATGACCTCAGGGTCATGAGATGGAGCCGGAGCCCAGCATATGGGCTCTGAGCTCAGAGTGAGTCGGCTTGAGATTCTCTCTCCCTCTGCCCCTCCACCAGCTCATATGCAGGCACGCTCTCTCTCACTCTCTAAAATAAATAAATAAATCTTTTTAAAAAATAAAAAATGTAAAACATAAATATTTCCCAGAAAAGAAGATGAAACAGTGATCCCTTAATGACACTTCTGTATAACCTCAAAAATTACCTCAAGCTGTGCCTTATCACCTCAAGAAATATACAAATCAACAAGCTGTTCCTATCATCTCTTCTTTTAGGCACATGAACCTGGCTTTTCTCCTTTTAAGAGTAAACTCATATAGACATTAAAATGAAGATCTTAAAGGACCTTTTTCTAAATAACTAAAAATCATAATTCAACCGAAGTAGTAAAGGTAACCACATCACCAGATGGAGGATACGGAAAAACACCGGTGTCCATTTCCTGTCATAATACTTCAAATAAGTGAGAACCATAAACTATGCATAACCCTAGTCATTAAAGTGCTATAGTTTGTCAACTAATTTATGTTTTACTAAGAGGACATCATACTCTTTCAAATGCTTTTCACTTTCAAAATCATATCTACCATCTCGTTTTATTTTTGCAAAAATCCTGGAGGGAGCACAGAGCTGAACTTACTACATTTCACCTTTGAGGCAACCAATGTACACTGAACCTAACACCTTTCTTGAGGGTTACACAGCTAGTAAGTGGTAGAACTGTAATTAGACCCCAAAATTTCATCCTAGAATTCCCTTTTGATCAAAATTATTTTTGTAGCTCTTCACAGACTTCCAATTTTAGCCTATCTGAATTCTAACTACTCAAGACATTGCCTGATTAGTAATTAATTAATTAATTAATTAAAGCAGAAATGAAACCATGGACTTGAACATTATTTGGCAATAAATGTTTATTGGTATCGAAGAGGGGGAGGAAAGGAGGAAGAAAAAGAGGAAGGAGTGTTAAGGAAGAGCAGGGAGAGAGGTGGAGGAAAGAGAGAGGAAGGTGGAGGAAGGAAGGAAGGAAGGAAAGGGTGAGAGCTGAGTGAGGGAGGGGGTGGGAGGAGGAGGAGGAAGGGAAGGAGAGGGAGAGAGGAGGTCTCTAATATCACCCACTATTGGGGAGAGTAGTCAACAATCCATATTCCAGCATAAAGGATTTTGAAGCAAGCTGCTGACTGAATAAATGTAAACTCAAAAGGGAGGGGGTAGAGGGGACAAAGGGAAGGAAAAAAAAAGAGCACTAAGGAGAAAGGATTGTGTGATTACAGCAACAACCCTCAGGCCTGGGAAAACAGTCTACATTATACTTTGACACAAGTAACATCAGAAGCAGAGTTAGCAATCTGCATAAAGAATCTCAGCATTACTTCTGAGGGTCACCCACATACAAAACTAATTAATAAGCTTTGGAGATATGAGGATAAAAATTACCATGACAACACCCATCAATTGTAATCTCTGAAACATAAACATAGTCACATAGTTCATCTTAAAAATTCCATAATGACACCAGGATCTTGAAAAAACTGTCTTACAATTCTTGTTCTCTGGTAGCTTAAGAACTCTGCGATATAAACTGGACTCTTTGCTAACTGATAGGCAATTAGAAATATTAACCTACTCTTCCAAATGCCAGTACTTTGCCTCTTCTCATTTGAAGGCTACTAGTATATACAGACCCACCCACACGCTATCCAGGTGATTAAGCCAATATGAAAGCCAATCAGGTATTAAACATAGAAAATAAGCCCAATCTACTAGCCAATTTCAAAATATAGCAGATGAAAAAAACCCAAGTATCAGCTGAATCATTTCTAAATACAGTTTTTAAAAATACTTAAAATGTACCCAAAATAATGCAGGTCAGCTGAATACCAGAAATGTCAGCTTCCATCAACAAAGATTTTTTTGTTCAATTTTTCATCAACATGCCAACAGAAACACTAAAGCAAGACCACAACATGATCCATATTACTCCTCCCAGAAAGAAGAACAGGGGAGCATACAGGGAAAGAAAAAGGGAATGTAGTCTTGCTCCACAGAAGACTTAACCTGCCCAGTCTGTCAAAAACCCAACCAAACAAAAACAAAAACAAAAAAAAAGAAAGAAAGAAAACTAAGGTTATTTTTGAATCCTGATAGATGGAAGTTTTGGAGTGGCAGAAAACCAGATTCAAATAAGTTAGAAATAAGAGAGTGCAATACCCCAAACCACTACCCTCTACTGTCAGCATGGTACTCATTTTAAAACAGAATGCACTGAATCGATACACGGTAATTTAACAGATACCTACACACTTCCGATAAGCCTAAATAACTTGCTTTATACAGAATTCTAGCACTTCTCCTATGTCTTGACTATGTTAAAAATAATAATCCCTATATTGGACAGGAGGCTCTTAATTCCCTAAAAATATCCGTCACATTTCATCCTCACCCTTTTTGGGGGAACATTCTAAGCAAAGGGAAAATACTAATTGGGAAATCAAGTCTCCTCCTCAAACATAGGTAGAAACGGAAGGGACTCAAATAGCAGAAGCAATCATTTAAGGAGATACACACATGTTTGAAAACCCACTATTGGTGTCGTTTTCTGTAGCTCAGGAACTTTCTTTTTCGGTCTACGGATGCACCTCTGACACACAGACGAGAAGCTGATCCATCGGAGGGAGGAGGAATTGGACTGTGCACCTCCAAAACAAGCTCAGGGACACGGGACAAGACAGGGGCAAAGGAACTTCAAATGTGTCCAAGGAAACCTCTTCAGGAACAGCCGCACCCGGCTCCCTTCCCCGCTCGCCAGACAAGGGGCAACCACGGAATCAGGGAGCCGGCTCACTGCGGGCACAGCTTCTCTGCCCTTCGTTGCCCAGCCTCGGTCGCAGTCCGGCCTCTAGACACGGTTGGGAAGCGCCAGCTCTCGCCTTCACTTCAGCCTTCCCCTCCGCTCTGGCCCCGGAGCTCCCCAAACCGGCCTTCTTCCCCACTCTCAGCGCCAGCCGGCCGCGCGCCAGGCCCCGTCCCTTACCTGCGCCTCCCACCCCGGCCCCGCCGGCCACCCTCCACCCCAGTCGCCGCTTCACCCCGTTCAGGCGCAGGAAGCCAGCTCCGGAGCGCAGGGACAGGGGTAGCCGGGCCACCGACGGTTGCTGCAGGAAGCAAAGCCACTTACATAGTTGATGCGGCTTCTCGCTTCCCCCGAAGGCTCCGCCCCCTGTTCCTCCTTCTCTCCAATCCGCAATTCTCCCGGGCGCCGGCTCCGCCCTCTCCTCCCCGTCCGCGCCACGTTTGGATCAGACGCCCAGGCAAAAGGAATCGAGCTCAAATAGAGTCGTCCTGGACAATTTGATTAGGCCGCCTCAGCCTTCCCAGAGGAAGCCAGGGCGACTGCGCGCGTGAGCATCACGCGTGCCGGGTCACCCGACGGGTGCTGGCTGGGCCACTACAGTTACCGTATGTGTTCGATGATGTGGGCTCTCAGAAGATGTTACCGCGCTCAGCGTTCCCAGGGACTGACATTCACAAGAGCGCAGACTGTTGTCACTTGTGACTCGGTCAATGACTGGCCATGTGACCTTAAACAAATTACTAAATTCCTCAGGCTCCTGCCCTCGTAACTGTAAAATGAGGCTGATAACAACACCCACTTCACAGACAGTTTTTTGAAGATAAAGTAAAACATTGCACATAAAGCATCTGGCACAGTGCCTTACCCCAGAGTAAGTGATGTGAGCTCTTTAGCTAGTCTTTTCATTCAAGTTTTGTGTTGCACCAAGACTGAGTGCAAAGAAAATTACCAAGTTGCTCAGCCTGGCTAGCATCAGTCCATCTTTTTGTCCTGCTGTGAGCATTGTGCCCTTAGCTGAAGAAGACATGCCAAAATCTGCTGACCCCAATCGTGGGGCTTGGCAGGGGCGGTCAGAAAGGAAACCCAGAGTGCGGTGCTATTATAATTAAATTCTTCAGGCCCTTTCCTCAAGAGTTTTGGCAAATCCCTACCCAGTTTTCCTCAAGTTAGCCTTCTCGGCCGATGGAGAGCAGCATCGAAGCCCGAAGACTGGTACCAGCACAAGGAAATCCTTATCACCCTCAGCGTGGCCCTCAGCAATCATCCTAAGAGTAGTCAGTTTCCTCTTCCATTTCTCAACTGCTCTTCCACATCACACCATTCCTCCTGCCCCATTACCTTGACTATCATTCTCAGCAGAGAATCTGAGTGAGAAAGCTGGGGTTATTGGGTGTGACCGCTAATAAACCCTTCGTTGAAACACATATTTATGATTCTTACTGAGTCTATCATTGTTATGATGGTACTATGCTTATATTCTTCTATCAGGTATCACTTGCATTTGTACTCAAAATAGCTTTTCCTTTTCTTTTTTTATATTGATTCCTAGTATTCAACTAATTAAACAAGGAAGCCATTAGACTGAGATGGTTCTAATGTCTTAGTAGCCTATATAAGCAAACCAAAACCTAAGCCTGTAATGCCTCAAGGTTATGAATTTGAAACCTAAGGATAACCAATCACAAACAACCACCTAAGGCTTTTCCAAAGACGGCAACTGCCTAAGCTGTAGTCAATCAAATAATTTCCTTGCTTTGCTTCTGCCTCTTCTCTATAAAAGTCTTTCCCCTAGCTCCTGTCATTGTAGTGCTTCCAATCATTTCACATTTGGCAATGCCCAATTCCTGCTCAAATAAACTCTCAAAAATTGTAATATGCCTCAGTTTATTTTTAATAGTATCAGTACAGACTCGTGATTTTTTTACAGTATATTATGATTCATTACTGCACCACTCTTTTTGAGTCAAGGTTTCCCTGATTTGCCCAGTGAGAGCCCCTTCAAGCAGCTCCCATGTACATTTGACATGCCTTTCCCCCTTACCTTCTTACCCAATAATATATACCAGATTCAGCTTGAACTATCCTTGCTCCAGGTCTAGAATTAGTTCTGTAAGGATCCCTTTAGTAGAGAACACAAAGATGTTTTTAAAAATCATGAAATTCAGTTCTGTCTAGGAAGTAATGAAATTGGCACTCTCATACATGCACGTGAAAGCATAAATAGGTATATCCCTCCTAGAAAATTATTTGATGGATCTAACAAGCGCCTTAAAATTGTTTATACTCCTTGATCCAACAATTGCAATTCTAGCAATCATGCCTAAGGAACTGATTCTAGTGCAAAGTAGAATGTAGTGAAATATATTTTTCAGTTATTTAAAACAGTAATAAATAAATAAAAAGGAAACAAATTTCTAATGAACACAACAGGAAAGCAACACAATCAAATGTTGGACAATTATGCAGTCATTAAAAATTATGCTAAGACTTTATAGAGCATGATTCTTCATTTCATGGTCAATCTTCTTAAAAGAGTTATGTTCCCTTTCCCCACCTCCCATTCAAATGCCAATCCCGTAGAGTATGGCTTCATTAAGAATCATTCTGATAGAATTATTCTTCTTTAGGTGCATTTGTGAGGTCCACCGACTTGCCAAGATTATTTTCAGGCTTTGTCTTCCTTGCCTTCTCTGTAGTACCCCCTCCTTTTTGGAAACTTTCTCTTTGGTTCCCATCAGTCTGTGCTGATTTTTCTACCACCTCCCAGACAATCCTTGCCATTCTCTTTTGGGAACTACTTTTCCTCCACCTGGCTGTTTAAAAATGTGAAGTATTCCACAGAATTCTCACCGAGGTAGACTTTTCTTCTTACTGTATACTTCTAGCTCATGACCTCATAAATTCCTTGGCTTCAGCTACGATCAATACGTGCTTATATTAGTTTGCTAGGACTGCCATAACAAAATGCCACAGACCGGGTGGCCTAAACCACAGAAATTTACTTGTCACAGTTCTGGAGGCTGAAAGTCCAAGATCAAGGTGCATGCAGGGTTACTCTCTCCTGAGATCTCTGTCCTTGGCTTGCAAATAAATGGCTACCCTCTTGGCTTGCAAATAAATGGCATGCACGTTCATCCCTCTATGCATGCACATCCTGTGTGTCCAAATTTCCTCTTCTTATAAAGACACTAGTCAGGGGCACCTGGTGGCTCAGTTGGTTAAGCATCTGCCTTCGGCTCAGGTCATGATCCCAGGGTCCTGGGATCAAGCCCCGCATTGCATTGGGCTCCCTGCTCAGTGGGGGCCTGCTTTTCCCTCTCCCTCTGCTGCTCCCCCTGCTTGTGCTCTCTCTCTGTCAGATGAAATCTTAAAAAAAAAAAAAAAAAAGACACTAGTCAGATTGGATTAGGGCCCACCAATATGACTTCATTTAATCTTCATTACCTCTTTAAAGGTCCTGTCTCCAAACACAGTCACATTCTGAGGTATAGCGGTGTTAGAGCTGCAACAGATGAATTTTGGGAAAAGGAGGACACACAATTTAGCCCATAACAATGCTAAAGATTCTTAGATTTCTCTCTTTAGCCCAGACACCCCTCCTGAACTCATGTAGCTAACTGCCTCCTTAACATCTATATCTTGCTGTCCCACAGGCATCTCAAATCTAACAAACCTTACACTTAATTCATTTTCTTGGCCATCAAACCTGTGACTCTATCTATATCCCTTCTTTGTTGAAGGGCACCCTGTCACCCAAACCCTAACCCCAGAAATCACCTGCACTGTTCTTTCTCCCATAATCTTCATGGCCAATAAATTTCAATGAAGTGAATTTCCACAAGGTAGAATAACTGTTCATTCTACTTCATTTTTTTTAGATCATCAAAATGAAAACACAAATGCCTTAGTTATGAGAATCCCCTATTATCTAGATGAGGGTGTCATAACCAAATACAGACAGAAATTTCATAGCCCATGTTTCTATTTGTTTACAACAGTAAATAGAACCAGCTAATATTAAAATACTCAGATTTTTTATTGTCCAAATGAAAACCAATGATGTCAAGGCATGCAATATTAACCAAACAGAGAAAAACGGTGTGCTAAATGAATCTTCACATGACACCCAGAATAGGCAAGCTAAGTTCAAAAAGAACAAGAATCTAAGCAGTGAGCTTCATATTCACATTTCAAGCAGTAACTTAACTTCAGCCAAACATCGTTTGTTACATTTAATTAATGTTGTCAATGGGTAATGTATTATTTTTATCATACTATATCATATCATCATTTTGTCTATAAATTTATTTTTTAGTTGTATAAGAGCTAACCACATAAGGAGCATATATCTAGTTTTATGCGTGTACATATATGCATATTATAAGTCAATTCTAGGGATCTACAAAAAAATGTGTTTTCAGTGAAAAAGGAGTTCCTACATTACTGGCTTAAGAAACGCTGTTTTAAGATGCTGAGACTCCCACGCGTTAACTTGCCTCCCACGTAGGCTCAGAGCCTAATTTGCAGCCCATCTCTAGCAGTATTTAGGATTTGATGGAATACATTTTGTGATTAAATTCACCTTCATTCTGTATAATTTCCTATATTTATTCTCTCTTCTCACATACGTTCAATGTATTTTATCATGCTATATTGTATGTGTCTTGAAAGCTGCCCTAAATCCTTTCTAAAGAATGAATATACTTTTGGTAGTAGGCAAGGGGTGATAAATAATGTGAACCTGATATAAAATGGAGTAAATTTACAATCTCAGGTGACTTTGCGTCTCAAATTCTAAATGAAAATACAAGCTTATACTCCCCTATAATAATTTCCACAAGAATAAATGGAGGTGACTCCTATTTTCCATTAATCCACCTAAAAAATCAACAAGTGCAGGCTACCTGGCTGGCTCAGTGGTAGAGCATAGGAGTCTTGATCTCGGGTTGTGAGTTAAAGCCTCCTCTTGGGTGCAGAGATTACTTAAAAATACAATCTTAAAAAAAAAATCAACAAGTGCGATGCTATGTATTCTTTCTTCTTACTTTTTTCTTGGGAAAAAAGACCAGTGCCCTCTAGTGTCCAAAATGCGTCTTGCGTGGTGCCTGTTATACCGGTTTATCGTCCAAGAGTAATTGTAATAATCCGATGCTACAAATTTTTAAAATAAATTTTGGAACATTGAATCAGGACAGCAATATACAAGCATTACACTCACTACAAATCAGTGTCTAAAATACCTCCCCCCCCCAAATGAAATAAAATACTCCTCCCCCATGTTTTCAAGAGTAAGAAATACACAAAAAATAATTCCCTGCAGGGGGCAGATTTTTTTTTTTTATTCCACTGTTTTCTTAAGGCTTCACATCTTTATTCCGGCTTCACTGGGATCCACACAATAATCTCCTATCTTTATCTTCTAATGCAAATGACAATTGGGTTTATTTATAGTATGTACTTGGTAGTAATTAGAATTACAGGTACGGAAGTTCTGAAGACGTAGTCGTTGGTGGTGGCGGACATTATTTACCACGGTATGCCTGCTTGTTTAACTGTTTAATCCTTTGCATTCTCGCTGCACCAAGAAGCCCCCAAAGCCACCTCAAGCTCCCTACCCCCCGCCCGCACTCTTCCTTCAGCCAAACGCTCGTTCCAGTCTACCGCACACCCAGGTAGCGCCGGAAGTCGGGGGAGCTCCGTCCTCGTTCGCCTTTACTGAAGACCTGGAAATTCACTCTGCGGGGCCCTAGGCGGCGTGGGTCTCAGAATACCAGCCCTGGCGCGCCCGGGTCCCGAGCCTGCAGGTGGCTTTCACGTCCTTCCGCCGCAGGGAGCGGCAGCCGAGTCCAGGGGGCGCTGCGGCCCCTTCCCCACCGGGAGTGCGGCGATGGGGGAAGCGAATTCAGCCCAGAAGTTCCGGGACTCGACCCCGCCCCTTGGCTCCGCCCACCCCCCCGAGTGGTCGGCGCGCGGCGATTGGCGGCGTGGAGGGGGCGGAGCTCCGGGAGGTGGGCTGAGGGGGCGGGCCTGGGAGGGGACAAAAGCGTGGCGGAGCCAAAACCCTGCGCTGCAGGCCCTCCGCAGTGTCGGAACGGAGGCGGCGTCTGAAGCTGCAACAGCTGGGGCGCAGCAGGGATTGCCAGTGTAGACGCTTGTAAGTTTCAGCGTGTGCGTGGCTGTGGTGCCACTAGCTCATCGTCCGCGTCCTTTCCCCTGCAGGTAACCGCCGGCTTCGAGGGGCGGCTCCCAGCCCCTGGCTTTTGCGGGGAAGCTGTGAGCCAGCCAATAGATGGAACGGGAAAAAGGGAGAAAGCTCAGATCTTGGGTATGGAGAGAGGAATTTAGCGGCGAGCCCTAATCGAAAGGAAGGGGGAAAATCCAGGTTGGGCCTGGGGAAGAAACATGGGGAGAAAGAGGGTGCTAGATGTCTGGATGTGGAAAAGGCCCACTCTTGGGCACGGAAGGGTGGAATCGGGCGGCGGAAAGTTGCTTTCAGTGACACATAGAAACCCCGGTCTGTATGCAGAAAGGGAAATCGAGCGGTGGGAGGATGCAAGGAGGCGTGGAAGACTAAGTCTCGGGTTTAGGGGGAAGAAAACGTGCGGCAGTGGCGAGCTGGATGCAAAGAAAGGTGGAAGCCATGGACTTGGGCGTGTGCAGCGAACTCAGGTGGCTGGAACTGGCGGTGCGGCGGGGTAGAAGTGTCCTCTTGGGGGCGTGGAAGGGGCGGGATGGGGTGGAGGGGACACCTCCGCCCCCGCTCGGGTCTCCAGTTTTCCAGTTCTAAGGAAGCGTGCCCGCAGCAGGCTCCAGGCTCCCGGGGTAAAGGTTCTTGGGCCGCAGAGCGAAGGGATGGGCGTGGAGACCTGGAGAGAGGAGCGGAGCCAGCTTGGGTTGCAGCTCTCTTGCACAACGGCCGCAAGGACGTATGCTGACCAAGAGCCTGCTGGTCACAGCGTCACCTAAGGTCGTGCAAACCCCAAGACCAGCTTACGGATGACGAACCGGAGACGCGCCCACTGACGCCCCCTCCCTTGTGTGCCGGGCAGAGATATTTGTGCTCCCTTAACCTTTATTTGGCAGGTGCCTGCCTGCGCCCCTAAAACTGCCCTTTGGCCCTCTGGGTATACTCAGCGCTGTACTTTAAACCAGATAAACCGGCTGTCTGGCCCTTATTAAAAACAGCTAAATCCTCCTAACAGGCGTGTTTTGAACGTTGTCTTTCTATTCCTCTTTTAGTTTTGTCTTAGGAAATAAACTGCACTCAATTGAGTCTGCAAGATTGAAAGGAGTTGGGGTGATTAGAAGTTGTAAAGGTGAGAATTAGCAATTTTTCCCCTTCTGTACTTTTTAATGCGGCAATTCTGCGTTTAATTGGTTTTGGAGGTCTTGAGGTAGGGGAAGGCACTGCAAGGAATGAGTCAGGGATATTTCCAACAATAAATTGCAACTGCTTCCTTGTTTCTTTCAGTGCAGCTCTTCTCTGCAAGAGACTGTTTTTTGGCCCAGAAATTATTGTAGTTCATGAACTCAGCTTAAAGAAAATGTGGCTGAAATTTTGGGGTTGATGAAAATGAAATGATGAAAAGAGCAAATCTTTCTGTATTCATCCAGGTTTATTTTCTGGAATGACACAAGTGTGTCATGATACTGGAATTCACCTGCTTTCAGACTAAATGAACTGGCTTGTTGGAAAAGTCCTTCCTTCTGAAGTCAGGGTTTGGGTGGAGAGGGAGAATCTGAGCAGCAAGGCTTAGAGAAGTGAATCCAGTGGGGCCTAAAGCCTACCCCAGGGAATTTAAATCTAAAAGAAATAATGTCCTATGTTGTTGTAAGCAAGAGTCTACAAAAAAACTTTACTTTTTTAGTTAAAAGGTGCTAAAATTTTAATGGATAATGTGAGGAAATCCTGAAATGTTTCAATTCTGAGATATAGAAAAATTACTGCAGAAAATGTTTGGTTCAACTGAGAAGGAAATCATTTTAAAAATGCTATTATTCAGTATAAACAGTATCACTTGACAAGTTGAACTGAAGTAATTTGATTTTTAAAAAACAAAAAATGTACTGGGGGGCACCTGGCTGGCTCAGCCAGTAGAATGTAGGACTCTTGATCTCGGGGTCATGAGTTCGAACCCCACGTTGGGTATAGAGATTACTTAAAAAAATAATCTTTAGGGCGCCTGGGTGGCTCAGTTGGTTAAGCGACTGCCTTCGGCTCGGGTCATGATCCTGGAGTCCCGGGATCGAGTCCCACATCGGGCTCCCTCCTCAGCAGGGGGTCTGCTTCTCCCTCTGCCCTCTTCCCTCTTGTGCTCTCTGTCTCTCATTCTCTCTCTCTCAAATAAATAAATAAAATGTTTAAAAAAAAAAAAATAATCTTTAAAAAAAAAAACAAAAATGTACTCATTAGTGGACTGTGAACCTCAGTTCCTTGTGACAAGGTAAGACATACTCAAGGATGCTATATGACCCATCAGTTGTATTTGCCATCAAGGAAAAATAGCCAAGTCATAACTCTTGTATAATATTATGTAGGAATGCAGCCATGGAAATGTTGTATCAAGACCAAGATAAGTTTGCTGCCTCTTTTTGTGTTTTGTTTTGTGTTAAATGCAAGGACAGATGTGACAGTGGGCTCAGCAGGACTGAATCAACTTAAAGCTCTACTGTAAATCGTACTTGAAATTACACATCAGAAGTAATTAACTCCTCCACACCAGTTTGTTCACTTCTTTTATTCTAGTTGAGTTCCAGATGGTTCCTCAGTAATGGTATAGGGAACCTCCTAAACACTAATAAGCAGGCTTCTAGAATTACAAATTTGGGAAGTGAAAATGGCCTGAGGATTAGGAATATGTCCTGCTTGTCACAAGGAACTGAGGCTCACAGTTGGCTAATAAGTACATTTTTGGGTTTGTTTTTTTTTAAGATTTTATTTTTTTAAGTAATCTCTGTATGCAACATGGGGCTCAAACTCACGACCCCAAGATCAAGAGTCACACATTCCACAGACTGAGCCAGCCAGGTGCCCCCCAGTACATTTTTGTTATTTAAAGATGAAATTACTTTAGCTCACCTTGTCAATTGATACTGTTTATAGGCCTCTTACCTAATAATTAAGTCCGTTCTCTTGACTTTTCCAGTCTTCAGCCATAACTTAAAGGGATAAAAGCAATTTGCAGTTATGTTCCCCCAGGGGAAAAGTTTCCATTAGCGCTTTATTAGAGAACGTGCTCGATTCTAATGGTAAATATATTGTCATTAGCTTTTTATGCAATAGTGCTGTTGTGAATATAGTGTTTAGTAGTCACTGAATTCTTGGTATTTTGTTTTTACCCTGTAATGAAATAAATGAGAAGACCTGTGTCTTACCTTTTGTTCTTTTTAAAGGTTTCTTGAAGTCAAAATGTCTCAGAAAATCCGTGGCGGTTCTGTGGTAGAGATGCAAGGAGATGAAATGACGCGAATCATTTGGGAGTTGATTAAAGAAAAACTCATTTTTCCCTATGTGGAACTGGACCTGCACAGGTAAGCAGCAAACTCAGAAAGCATAATCTAAGTGATTTCGGGGTATAACTAGCTGTTTAAATAGCTATAGCTGTATCTTATGAATAAAGCTTTTGAGGGAGGGATGCCAAAATATAGGTATATGAACCTTCTATTTTAATTTTATTAATTTTATTTATTTATTTTTAAGATTTATCTATTTTTAGAGAGAACACAGAAGGGAGGGGCAGAGAGATTCTCAAGCAGACTCCCCACGGAGCCCAAGCCCCATGACAAGGGGCTTGATCTCCCAACCCTGAGATCACGACTTGAGCCAAAACCAAAAGTCAGACGCTTAACTAACTGGACCACTCAGGCGCCCCATACTTTCTATTTCAATTTTGACATATTGGCTAGAGAGACTGGACTTATCATTGTTCTGAAGAAAAGAACTGTGATGAGAACAAAGTGATCCTCCACTCTTTCCAAGCCTCTATTTCCCGTGAAGCTGGCTCAGAGCAGCACAAGGTTTTATTTGTGGAAGGAAAAATAATAGAGATACAGTCTGCGTTGAACAGTAAAGTAATTGTAGTTAACACAGTTTTATCCTTTCTACCTACCTCTGTTTACTATCACTCTACTTAACTAGTCAGTGGACCTTTTCCCCCTGTTCTTTCCTTGGCTTTGCCCTTTTCACACAATTACAACACAGAAAGAACCGTTGAAGTTACTTATACGAGCCCCACCTTTCCGTAGACAATCCCTTAAACCTTTTGTGTTCTAAGGATTTGAGCCATTGCTCTGTCTTTAAAGTGTTTGGAGACATATGTGAAAGTCTCTGTGGGATTCTCCCCTTTGTTCCCTGTGATTTTTTATAAACTTGCTCATGCTCTTTGTACATCCAAACAAGGAAGAGGCAGAATTTTTCCAAAGGGGATGTGGCTGAAGCCTGGCATGGCAAAATGTTGACCCACACAGTTTAACCAAACTACAGCAAGTCTTAAGTGTATTTGTCTTGACCCAGAATTATTCATCAGACCCACGTGTTCCGAGAGCCTGTTGTTTTGCCTGGGTATAGATACTTCATTCACGTGGTGTCATTAGACTCTCTTTTTAGTTATTCTAAGCCCAAGCTGTTGATAATGTCTATATTGCAACCCCAAGATGAAGCAAATACTTGCAGAGGTCAACCAGACATACAGGAAACGAAGCATAAAAAACATCAAATGGGTTACGGAAGCATTTCATGAGCACTCTCCTGGTTAGGAACTTGACATGGCAGTAGGTGAATTTGCCAAGTTCTTGCCGGTGTAATAGCTGTAAAATGTGTTTGTTTTCTGCAGGCTAGACAGTGGTCCAGGCCACTTACTCATTCTCTTCTGTTAGAGACGTTAAGAAGAGAAGCAAAAGCTCCACTAATTTGCTGGTAGATTCTTCTGATGAGAAATGGTTCCTACGAACATGAAAAG